TCACCCTCGGGGTGATCTTCTGGATGAGCGAGGGTTGGGCCCTCGCGCGATCCCCGGTGCGGCCGCGAGGTGGAAGTGTAAAGCGAGCCCGAAAGGTCCTCCAAGGGGTCCGCGAAATCGCCCGCCACGACGGGGTCCCCCCGGACCCGGCGGCAGGCGCGAAGGAGGCCCAAAAGGGGGTAGACCTCCGGCCCGTAGGCCAGGGTATTGCACTCCGCCCGGGGGTCCGTCGGGTCGGCCGCGAGGTAGGGGTGGGCCTGGGCGCCGATCCCCAACTTGGCCAGCAGCAAGTCGGACCCGCCCACCGCCGCTGTCGAGGAGGGCATCCGCAACACGTAAGGGTCGCTTGAACGGGAAGCAATCCTGCAGTTTAGAGTAAATTCGAGATTGCTTCCTCTTTATATTTATCTATTTATATAAATAGATAAATATCGATATCAGTATGGTTTGCACTATATCTGTGTCAGCAAAATTACTTCACGCTCTTTTTAAAAACGATTGGATTATTTTTCTTTATCTGGAATTGTAAGAAGTAATGAACACTATAATTGGAAAAAAAATCTTTAAAGGTGTGAAAGAAATCGATGATGTAATTTAGTCGAAATAGCGTGTTCCCTGGAACAATTTTCCTAAATACATACGCAAACCAATTGGAAACAAAAATATACAGATATATTTTCATCACTTTCTAGACCTCCCGTTTGGATGTCTTCACCACTTGTATGTGTGCACATCGCATCATATATATATGAGATTGCACAATGCCAGGAATTCAACATCCTTACAAAGCCCTGGGTTATTCATTTGAAAGGAATGGAATTCCCAGCTCTCGCCAATCGTTGGCCAGGGAATCTTCCCCACGCCAGGGGGTCGCGCCCACGCAGCCAAACATTCCTCTTCGGCCCCACGCGAGGCTGAGATCGCCTCCCCCGTTTGCGATACTCGCGGCCGCCACGCTATAACTTGGGCGTAGGCCATCATTTAGTGGGCAATTAGGGGGCAACATAAATGAAGAGGGGAGGTCGAAATCCAACAATAATTCTAATTTATGATGGTAAATCGCTAAGGTGGGGCATTCGAGGTGCCAAAGTCGGTGCTGGTAATGGCTGTCTTGGGACATAAGAGCAATGAAAGGGATGCCAAATAACCAGGCAACTTTTTAACCCACTAATCACAAAACGCTTAGAAATAGTCTCCTCCCTCAATACACTGTAGGACTCTCTTTTCTCTTTTTCCTATGGGCATCACCGAGAAGAAGGAGCAATAGAAAGTAAGCGCAAAATAGTGTTCTAACCGCAATCCCACTACGGTAGTTATTGGATAACAGTAATAAAAATAGTCAACAACTAAACTGTATATCGTTCCACGTTTTCCGACATATATCTGAAACCACCCTCTTTATATTCGAAACAGCTTTTAAATGATTTTGGGATTTTTAAAATGGAATAAATCGTCGATTAAAAGGATAATAGAGGACTCAAGGAGAACATACACGCGCCAAAAAAGAGAGAAAAAGAATAATCGGTAAAAAATATGATAAAATGGAGTCGTTATGTGTCCTTCAGGTGGTCTGGCCGCACCCACCCCAGGATTCGCTGTCCCAGATTATCTTCCAAATACAAAACACAAGAAGGGCGATAATCTCGTAGTATCAAAATGCGAGAGTAACTTCGTGGTTTCTCATTTTCAAGCAGTTCTTTTTCTACATCAGTCATTCGTACATCTTTGTCCTTACTTTCCACTCTAGTGTGAAGCACGCTTTCTGTGGATTGCTGTGGCAGCCCGTTCGTTCCTAAATTTATGTTAGAATTTGCAGCAATTGAAGGTGAATAATTTTGATTGGTTCCAGCTGAGAGATTGTAAATACCGGTCCATGGACGATTATCCCAATTTTGTTCGGCCAAATAAACTTTGTAGTATACATATTCATGTTGAAAGTTTATTCGGTTTTCCAAAAAAGAGCTCTCATCTGTATTTGTCATTGTATTACCCATGATGGATTTGTCCGCCTGAATTCCATTTCTAGGGTCAGAAACATTGGTTGGGGCGTTCACAGAGTCTTGGACTGTTCCACCATCTCCGTATGTGGTATTGAGTTTTTCAGGATCCTTCCCATCCTCGGGAAGTGAACTGACCGTATTTAAATCCGGTTTGTTGTATGGTCCTTTGACCCCCACAATGACCGCGACATGACCGTGGGACAACGTCGATCGATTTTTGGCATACACAAGAAGGTCGCCGGACTGCGGAAGGGACGAATTCCCCCGATAACTTGTGCATGGATTTTGAAAGCTGGCGTCGACTTCGGTCGATTGGAAAGCAAGAGGGAACCTATCGATAATTTTCGTGAGATTTGGTTGAGAGACCTTCGTGGCTTCTTGCATTGTTGGAGTGCCCCTTCTGGGAAGCCCTTGAGAGGTGTTATTGTACGATTCTAATGGAAGAGGCCCGTCCAGGTTCCAAAAGTGTTTTAGCGCGACAGTCGTCTTGCTCATAGAATTTGAGAGAGTCATCACCTCCGTGATGTTCATCAGTTGTTCAGGTGAAGACAAGGTGGGTATGATCATAAACCTCCGAAGGATCCAATACCGTCGGGCGTACTCAATCGAGTTCCATTTCGCACCGGTGTAGATTCGGTGTAATCCCACGGTGACGTAGTTTTGAATTCCCTCGCCCCTATAACTGTACCTGCAATTGCTGTATGCAATGACATGTTTGCTCATCCCAAGAATAGAACCAAAACGACTTCCACAATCCGACCCCGTCGGGGGAACCTGAACTATAAGAATCTGGTACGAAACACCGAGAAAAAGTAATACCGTGAGCAACACCACAATCCATTGCTGGTGGCAGTGATCCTTCAGTTCAATGGAATACGGAGAGCCCGGGCTAAATGAAGAGTAGGACGCGTAGCCAAGGCCACCGGAAAAATTCCCTGATGGTGCAGCACTCTTAAGAAATCGATTTCGACCTTTGCTATCCTCGACATGTCCTAATGGGGGGGAGACAAAGGTACCGTAGCGCGCGACGTGCGTGTTGAAGGTTGCCAGACTCTCGGTGGGGACGGAAAGCGGTACTGGTCGATGTTGTTCCCTTCCTTCCCAGAAGCCATAAGAATCTTGCAAGCCAGAAAAAGAGGAAGGAGAGATGTTCGACATGTTCGGAGTCTTACTGCGGCAAGTCAATATAATAAATATATAAAAGCACGATGGTGGAGTAGTCCCCCTCCAAAAAGGCACTCAATGTGTTATTGGGGCACCAAATGTTTGATAAGTAACCCTAACTTGGGGTGCTGCTGACTACTAAGGTCAATGATTTTATTAAAATACTTTGAATTTTCAATGTCTTAGCTTTTCAGTAGTATTCACCTATAAATAGATTTACAAGTTTAATTACAAAAATGAGTGGAGAGTAAAATCGATTTTCCTTCCATGACAACTTTTTCAACATAAGTAACGAAACACATATGGTAGTAATGATTCTATTACCTAAGTAAGTATTGAAGTATATAATCATGCGACTTTATAGAAAAAAAATCATTAGCCGTTTCCCTTACATTGTTGTATTAAACGCATTTGGGGGCCTATCCCCCCCCCCCCCTTCCATTAGGTTATACCATCAACATTGAAAGTGCATTTTCCTGTTGAGTATGGCGGATATCCAGCTCATGAGGGGTGGAGAAAATTCTGGTTCACCAATGAGATATTAAAGCTCAGCTCCCAATTCCGCGTCTGTGGATTGAAAAAAGACAGGGCCTTGGGATGGTTGTGGTGTGGTCCAGGCCAAGGGCGTCGCGCATCCGAGTTCAGCCCCCTTACCAAGACCTACCTCAGAGGTCTATTTACCCCTATGAAGATGCTCACATGATCCTCTGGAAATGTTCAGGGAATCATGCAGAAAATCCCCTTGCTGAGGGCAGGGCCTCATCCGTGTGCGTGTGAATACGGCCGTGTGAACCGACTTCATAGATGGACCTCAGGCAAGACGTTCTAGAGGTCTACCGCTCCCGATCCGTGGGGATTTATCATCCGGCGGATTCCATACATGCCCACCATCGCATTTCGCACCACCTCCGCTGATTCATATTGTTGGCCCATATTGAATAGGCCATGACGTGTGCGTTCTTGGGCGAGTAAGGAAATGTTGAAAGTACCTCCACTTCCGACCCCGGGGCCGTGTTTTCCGACAAAAGGGGGAAGGGGGGGGAATCTTGACGAGATTTTCTATCATTGAAACACAGGTCTCACGGTTATAACTATTGAAGCTAAGAGGATTACAATGAGAACCCAGAACTACCCCAAACGCGTTTTGCATGCCATAGTTTCTTATGGGGCAAGATTTTTAACCTGCTAAAGGTAGCTCTAGTGATAACATGCAAGTAGGAATACGATAGGAATACCCTTCAACAGAAAAATCAAAGCTCTATTCATTATTTACAGTCCTCTATCCTTTGTGTCTGAACAGACCTGATTACTTCTGTTAAAAATGTTTAGACGCGCAAGTAGAAAAACTACGAGAGCAATGCAAGCCCATATCGAAAAGCCAATAATAATGCTGAAAGAGAAGTTAAACATAAAAACAGGTTTCTCCTTATAAATCCTTACTCCTTCAGGTTGCGTGCTACACTTGGTCATCGACTTCATTTGTTTATCCTTCTCCCTAACTTGATCACTCGCATAGACAATCTCTTCCTCTTCAGGGATTATAGGGCACATTATATCACCGTTGTCGAGATGTGTGCTCAAAAAGCATTTTTTTTCTGTGAGTGTCAAACTCGATGTTTGAAATGTGTTACTCCTCTTCATGTGAATATGATGCAAAGAATAAATTCAACCCTTTCTCTTATTATCTACGTTAGGTTTAGCATAAACAATGAAATTGAAATAGATTATTACACTTTTTCTCTGCATCCTGCATGTGGTCTTGCCTAATTAGTTTCAGGTTCCATGCCCCTCCCCTCCAAAATTCTGTATTTTAATATATTTTTGTATTTTGATTCAGATATATCTCTCTTTTCAGCTTTATCTTGGATTATGAAAATAGGAATATTCAAAGGGCTGAATAACTTCAAAGAATCATATACGCGCACATGCAAGTCCTTGACGGAAACGTTCGACATACAGATAAGCTCACTTCTCCAACCATTTTTCATAACATAGGTGAATTTCTTTCATAGTTGGTGTGTCCTTTGGATTTAACTGCAACAGTCTCAAAACTTCATTTTTCTCTCCGATTAAGGTCGTTGCGGCGTTAGTGGTGGCGTCTATTTCCATGAGGTTCTCCAGGTGGTTAATTCGATGCACACAATATCCACAATTAAGCGTTGTCCCCGCCGAACCTCTAACGATTGTAGACAAAAAAAAAACGATAAGATAGTTTCAGCTAGTCCTGACCGATCAAACATTCTACGAAAAGGGTTTGAAGGGTGTAATCTGGGGATGAGATGGTGATGCTGCAGCCATTGGCATCCTAATAATAAGTGTCCGTCACCAGAGTGTAACTCGGCGGTGATTTTGAGCATACTAATGAATCTGATTCGAAATGCTTAGCATCTGTTGTACGCTCGTGATAGCACTTTCCTATGTCATTTAAACAGACGCACCCACTCCGACGCAGTAGCGTTCGACAATTCCGATACAGCGGAAGCGCCTTCTTATTTGTTTTTCTATAGTTTATCAGGGTCGTATTTAAGTAAAGAAGACCAAACGATTTAGTGTGCTTTGGTTAAACACAACATTCTAAAAGTAAACGATATCCCCAGGCTTCTTTGGTGTTTAATAGCACACCGGGTTTGGTGTTATGCATGGAGTTTCTCACATATAGATTGCTTTTTATATGTCGTTTCTATAAGACTTTGTCATTATCGGAGACTGTGTCCGTGTGCGTGTTTCAAATTTAAAGATACATTCTGCTCTATGGTTATTATTTTTAGCTGATAGTAAAGGATGAAAAAAAAGGGTCCTTCAATTTTGCATTAAAAGATGTGAATGTACTTTTATTTACAAAAAAAAAAACAAGGAAGGTAAAAAGAATAAAATGAGACAGGAACACTATAGCACGGAGAAAATTTTCGCTTCTTAATAGCAATGAGAACCAACCGTAGCCTTTAAGCATGTACGTATGTCTAGTCAAAATGCAGTAGTCTATACCTTTGTATTCCATCTTATATTATCCTTCACCATCGTGTGATGGCAATGCCAAAAACTTCGCAGACTGTTGAGGATAAGTTATTCAAACCAGAACATCGTAGACCATTGGTGAATATTTGAAAGAAAGTAAAAAGCATTCTGCAAAGCGTAAATCGTTTCACAGTGCGGCATCGATTCAGAGCACGCCAGCCGTACGTTTGGCGTTTGTACATAATGCGCATCCCAATTCTATCGATAAAAAATGGTAACTACCATACTTCCAAAGCGTTTTTAAAAAGGGGAAAAAAAAGTGAACCCCTGCGAGACGATCCTTTACGTTTCAATATTCCAGATATGCCTACATCCCTGGCATCGAAGAATACACGGAAAGCTATCATGCGCCTGGACAGAGTACGTCGACCGCACCGCCTCGCGCGCCCCGCAGTTCGGGCAAGAATAAAGTGTTGTGATGGCCCCCGTCAAGCTCAGGCCCAACGGGGACTGGATCTCCCCCTGCCCTGATATCGACCCCCTCGGGCTCAGCGGCGATCCGGCCTCCACCGCCTCATCGAACCTCTTTTCACCTGTGGCATCCTCCTGAAGGTTGGCATTGTCGGTTACGCTTGGGTTGTCCTTAGGGTGGGGGGATGCCACGCTGCGGGTTCCTTTCTCGGCGCCCCCCGCAAGGCCCTGTTGAAGGGCGGGGGGAAGTTGGCTAAACCAAAAGCGGAGAATCGCCCCTGCGAGCGTGCGAACCCGCGGAGGGGCGCGCGGCGTCAAGAGCTGGCCCACCGCCACCCCCGCTCGACTCGCGCGGAGCTGCGGGAAGGAGAGGTCGCAGGTGGTGAGGGGTCGCAGCAGGTCGAGCACGGCGGCCTCGCGATGGGCGTAGGCGTCGTCCTGCTGGCAGGCCGCGATAACGGCCTGGAGCTCGGCAACGCACTGCTGAAGGGCCGCATCACTAATCGGACCGCGCTGTGAGAGAAGCTGACGGCGGAAGTAGTTGACATCCTCATCCTCGTCATGGTTCTTGGGAGGGGCAGAGGGGCGCGGGGGGGGATCGGCCTCCCGCGGGTACTGATCTAAAATCGTCTGGCGCTTGCCTTTGTGGAATCGCTGCCGTGATGGCGCGTCATCGGGGTCGGTATCCGCATCGCTCTCGGAGTGATCCCTTTTTCGCTTTTTAGAATGCTTGTCGGATTCTTTGGCCTGTCGAAGGCGCTGCTTCTCCACCTTGCGGCGACGATGGCGTTCTCGGCGGGACTCTATACTCTCCCTAAGCTCAGAATCTAAATTGTTCGACATGTTCGGTCCATTGTTATCAGGTTTCTCCACTCGCATTAGATTGAGAACCTCGGCCTCCTCACGCATCTCATCATCGTCCTCATTAAAGTTAGCAGGTAGTGTCAGAAACGACGAATGATCCAACTGGACATCTCCATCCTCGGCATCGAAGTGAAGTTTAATAGTCTGATCCTCCAACTCATCATTCTCAAGCTTGGGATCCTCAAATTCATTTCCAGATGAGGTTTCACCATGAAAAATAATATCTTCGTTGAGCTCAATACCAGTTTCTATGATCCCGTCCTCCTGAATTACGCTCTTTAAATCATTATTATTATTATCAGAAAAGACGGCCTCTGGTAGTTCCGACATGATAAGTATGAAATTACGTCACAGTGAACCTGATTTTTTTTTTTAGGGAGGGGGGGGGGGGGAGAGGGGGACAAATAAATTGTGTTATTTATCCTTTGTGTAGAAAAGACAAGACAAAAAATCTAGTAATTGTAAGATCTAAACTCAATTTTTTTAATCTTATTATTTAATTTATTTAGCTACAAATGTGTTATATACTTCATACTAATTTTTTTTTTTAATACGATCGAGAACAGTGAAATAATAAAAAAATCATTATCCTTGTTGTCATGTAAAAGGATACGATGAGCCTACCGCTATCTTACACAGTTTTTAAGTTCTATATCATATCAAAGGGAACACCTCAAAAAAAGACGCGCCAGTTCACCATCGTTTTTTGAAGTGATAAATACTGAAGGATTAGAGTGTCATCATTGAGTTCTCTTTAGGTTTCGTCAGTCCTCGTAGAAATACTATTAATTAATTTCATTTCAGTAATGAAAAACTTTTTCAACAGGACATTGCCAAGCAGATGAGTGTGTATGCATAAATTGGATTCCACCATATTTATCATTCGCACCCTTTTCCAGGGTACGTATGCCCTCCCACCAACTACACACCACGTCGATTCGAAAATTCTGTAACCGATTCTATCCCTTTAGGATGAGAGAAAAAAACACATCTCATAGGGTTTCCTCCACTTCCCACCCACCCTTTTATTCCCCTTTGGATCCTTCTATTCCGCATCATTGCGGTTTTATTCCTCAGTCCAGACGTTTTTGCAGTCTAAGCAGGTGATAAACTTCGTCGTCGGCTCATCGGCGCCGCGGGTTTGCTGTTCGTAGTAATGACAACGCTTCCCTTTACAGCCGCGGCAGGTGAACATATTCGTGAGGTTGACGTGGGCGAGTTTAGCCTCCTCGAAGGCCTTGTGCTTTTGTCGTAGACGCCGCTCCTCTTCTTCCTTCTCTTTGGCGGTGATAAAGATCTCCTCAGGTTGATGAAGGTATTCCTCGGCGGTCCACCGCCCGGAGAGGAGATTTTCCCGCACAAACTCCAGCCCGGAATTGCGCAGCCGGGAGAACAAAAGCAGCCGCTCGTCCTGGCCATGCAGGGTTTTCGCGAGCTCCTTCGCGACCTTCTTCACCACCTCACTGGGGATTTTGGTCGCGCTGAGGGGGTCCACCAAAAGTTCGCAAAGCGTCGAATAAAACGAAGTGCGCTGCGGGGAGAAGGGTGCGTTGGTTGGGGTGCGTATGGATGGCGAGGTCGTCGTCAAGGCGGCGTGAGGGCTTTCTTTCGAAGGGTTTGGAAAGCCCCAAACGGGAGAGGACGGCGCGCTCGACAGGGAAGGGAATCCCAGGACGGGGTCCTCCTGCGGCATCACAAGGTCCCCCGCCTGCTGAAGGCGTCGAATCGCATCGAGGGTTTCCTCCGGAAGGTTTTGCACCCAACACGAGATGAACGCGCGTGAGAGGGGCCACAAAGCGCGGCAGGCGGAATTCCCAAGGACGTCGCCTACGGCCACACCGATTTTCGACTCCATCAGCTGTCGTTGGGTGACCTGGACGTTGTCTAACGCGCATAAATGCTTTCGGACCGCGCGGACGTCATTCGCGGCGAGCGCCTCGTGAATTGTTTCCGCCAGCGTCGTCAGCTCGATGGTGGGGAGCTGACGGTGGGAAAGAGAAGGGATCTGCCGCGCGGCATCCAAATTAACGCTGGCGGAGGCAGCAGCCTTTTCCTCCTCCGCGCGGCCTCGTTTGGACGGGCGGGTGGGGGCGGCGGCTCGATTGGGAGAGTTCACCGAGGCGGTGAGGCTGTCGGGGCCATTTTCGCCGCTCAGTGCCATCCCCTGGAGGGGATTCGCTGTTGAATCCTTCTCGGCATGGGCAATCGCCGCTCTAAGCTCCTCGTCGTTCGTCACCGCCTTCTCCGAGGAAGTTTCGAAAAAGCAAATGTGGTCCTGCGAGGCGTGGCGGCTCAG